CATCACTTCTTTATTAGCACATTAAGTAACAGACTTTAGGTGAAAATCTAGTAATTATCAGAATTCTAAAGTATTGATAAGCATAAATAAAACCTGAGATACCTGCAGCAACTATAATATCTAAAAATACTTGATTTCTTCTAGTAGCAGTCTTCAGAATAGTACAAATATAGCTTACTATTAATGTCTGATACATTGTCTGATACTGCCTTACTGATTTCCTTCATTTGGGATTGAAAGAAATCTGAGTTTCAGCCTATATTTAGTAAAAAATAAAGATGCATTTTTCCTCCTTTACAAGATTCAAGGACCGACCATTTTATTCCTGGATGATACCTTGTAGATTTCGGGCTAAGAATTTCAGTGAAGGGAATGTACAGCTTAGAAAGGGAAATGAAATATCAAACTGTCGTACAAAATATATTAAGCATAGAAACGAAATATATTAAGTATTTAAAAATGTGAAAGTACAAAAGAGTTTTCTAGATAGGAATGCCTCATTTGAATCTTGCTGTGCATTACAGAGGTAGAAAAAGGAAAGGAGCTTTCAAGGAAGAGTCGGACCTTTTCTTGATCTCAAAAAGAGAATAGGGAAGTAAGGCTAAAAGCAAGAAATAAAAGTAGACGAATAATTTGGGCTCTAATCATGGGCTTTGAATACTATTGTAAGAAGTTGTATTTTTGTTTGGCCCATCTTGCAAGATGTCTGAAAGGAAAGCAGTTACTTGCAAGATGTCTGAAAAGAATGCATAAGTATCAAAACTGCTTTAAGTTTTTTTTTTTCTGGAAGCAATGTGTAGAATTCCTTTCGTTTAGCAAGTATTTATCGAGCACCTCCTGTGTTCCAGGCTTTTTGCTTGAGAGAGACAGACAGCACATGATAATAACACAATGTTATTGTTCTATCAAGAGTGCTTTGAGAGCTCAAAGAAATCCTGCTGGTACTGGAAAGCAAGGAAGAGTAAAGACAAGCAAGTCTTAGAGTGAAGGAGTAAATAACTAGGTGAGACTAGTTAGGACTGGCCCTTGGCTAAAGGAAACTATGGCTAAGCATTTAGATGGTTTGGTGGAAAAGTTTTTATAATCTGGAAGATGAGGTTAATTTAAATGAAGCCAAAAGGAAGGATTTGTATCCATTTGCCACTATGTGTAAGCAAAGTTAAATGGATTCCATGAATATGGAATTTTTATTTTGGATAGGTTAGTATAGAAACACTGAACTCATGAGAATCGTTAATATTCCTTTTTAATTTCAACTTTGAGCTTTTGCAGGAATTGTTTTACAAATGTGCATGAAACAGTTTTTTCAGTTAAAAAATAGTTTGCTCTAAGTTTAGAAGCAAATCTTTGTATGTCTGAAGTATCACTATAGGGGAGTATAGAAGATCTGCTTCTAGATGATTGTAAGCTATTCTGAAAGACATAGCCTGCTTATTAAATTATGGTGTATTTTGACCTAAATGTCTTCTCCCAAAGAAGAATCAGAAGTAGTTTCATTATTAACTATATGATTTTGTCAAAACTTGTTGGTTTGGACTTCGAATTCATGAATGAATGATGAGCTTTTCTTCAGGAACAGTGACAAAACGAAATACAATAAGCACATTTGTCATTTCATCCTCAGTATCCTCCAAGGTGCCAGGGAGATCATCGCAGCCAATCCCTCTGTGCTTCAGAAATGACGCTGCTTATGGCCTATGGGTGGGGCCAGGTGGAGGCACCTCCACTACTGGGTTGGCTCCTGGGCTGCATGTTTGGCCTTGGGACATGCTTGAGGACCCACTTCAGGAGTCCACAATAAGAACATTTGAGTTGTGACTTCGCTTTATTTTTGGCTATGCATATCCAGCAGTATTCAGCCTTATTCTGGCGGCTGTGCTCAAATATAATTCTAGGCAGTGCTCAAGGGACCATATGTGAGTAGCGGGTCAGAACTGGGTGGGTCATGTGCAAGGCAAGTGGCTTATGTCCTGTTTCTGGCCCTTATCAGTGACATTTCTGACAGGAAAATTGGAAGCCTACTTTAATCAGAATAATTCCTTGCTCATTTCTTTTTGTTTGTTTATGGACCATCCATCCTGCGATGCTCAGGGATTGCTCCTGGCTCTGCACTCAAGAATTACTCCTGGCAGTGCTCAGGGATGCCAGGGATTGAACCCAGGCTGGCAGTTTGCAAGGCAAGCACCCTACTCACTGTATTGCTTCAGCCCTGGTTCCGAGCCCATTTCAATTTTTTTTCTTTTATTTTTATAAAGTTGTTCACAATGATTTATTACATTCATTATTCCAGCACCAGTCCCACCACCATTACACCTTCCCACGACCATTATTTCCAATTTTCCCAACCAGCACCCAAGCCTACCCCAATCGCGGGCCCTAAATAATTTATTTTGTATTGCTTGTTATGAATAATTCACTAAAAATGATCAAAAAAGATATCCTTAGAAGAAAGTGTGTGGAGAGTGTTGTCTCTCACCCTGGAGCCATTAAGTCCTTGTAGAAGAGATTACTAATGCGTTGTTACAGGCTCAGCCTTGTGTGTTAATATTAATCGAGATTGGTTGCCTTCTACTTTGCGTCCCATCCAATGTGGTGTACTACTCCTGGCATATATATCAGTGGTGTACAGTTTGAGATGTCGGAGTGCTCCAGGAATTTTAAAATTTTGAGTGGGGTGATACAGCTGGAGTGAAATTTTTAACTGGCTGGAAATTTTGGGATGCCAGGAATTGAACCTATGAGCATCTCTGCAGCTTGTTGATCTCTCTCAAAAATCAGTTTGAGTCTCTGGATCATGGCTGGTTAATGAGCTTCTATGGCACCTGAGACAGTTCATGGGCATGATTGCCAGGCTCCCTGAACAGGGGGATGGAGGAAAGTCACCCATCCCTGACTTGGAGAGCCTGGAAATTTCTGTCCCAAAACCTGCATATCTGAACTTTTCAACAGATTCATTCCTGGATGAGGCTCATCCCATTTCTAACTGCTTGTAGGTCATTGCCATTGGAATTGCAACCAGACTTTACTGGCTCTGTGAGTCTTTAAACCAGTTTTTTTTTTTGTTTTTTTGGGTTTTTTGTTGTTGTTTTGCTTTTTGGGTCACACCCGGCGATGCACAGGGTTACTCCTGGCTCTGCACTCAGGAGTTACTCCTGGTGTTGCTCAGGGAACCATATGGGATGCTGGGGATCGAACCTGGGTCGACCGCTTGCAAGGCAAATGCCCTACTCACTGTGCTGTCTCTCCAGCCCCATCTTTAAACCAGTTGACTGAACCTTAACTTACTGCTTTTCCTAACTCACTTCTAGCCAAATAGACTCCTTCCATTTCTTTTTCACATTCAATTTTAGTCCCCCTAAACCAAAGCCTAGAGATTTTCTTCAAACATTTCTTACTCATGCTGTCATGTCAGTTTCATGATCCAAATATATTTTTTGTTCGGGTGGGGAAGTGGGTTGGTGACCCTGGGGTCACTCCCAGCAGTGCTCAGAGAACTGTGCTGCACCAGGGATTGAGCCCTGGCCTTCAGCATGCAAAATACGCACTCAGTCCTTTGACTTCTTCCCCACAGTATATTTTTATCTGACCACTTTTCAGGTTAACCATGTTGAGCTGGCTGGAGTGGGAGTAAGCCCTGAGCAGTGCTGGGTGTGGTCCAGAAGGAAACAGTGTGTAGGCTCTTTATCAGCCTGTGTCTCTTGGCTGATTCATCTCCCACATTGTTGCATGGGTTCTCTTTTCTCTTTTTTTTTAAATACTTGAAGAGCAAGCCTCTATGGGGTTATTTAGTGTTTGTTGTTTGGGCCACACATGCTGATGCTCCTGGATCTGCACTCAGGAATTACTCTTGGTGGTGTTTGGGGACCATATGGAGTACCAGGGATTGAACCAAGGTCGGCCACATGAACGACAAGTGCCTTACTCATGGTACTATCTCCTGCTGCCATGGGTTCTCTTTCTAAAACCAGATACCATACTTATCAACTTATCAAAATTCTAAGCAACTCTGAACTCTTAGGGTAAAACAACCTCTGTTCTAAATTAAAGATACCACTTCCATCACTTGCTGTTCATGTTTGCACTCTGCTGTTTATCTTGCTCAGCTCTGGCTTCATCATCTTGGCAGCCCAGTTTGGGATGGCTATTTTTCTTTCCTATACTATACACAATGACTGATTTCTAACCTTCCTAAACTTTATCTTCTGGGAGCCAGAAAATGTCTTACCTTTTACTTCATGAGGGTTAGAATTATGGTTGTGAATAGTGCTAATGTTGATTACCACTAAATAACTCATATTTTTATTGGCGAAACTTACAAATGGTACAGTCCCTTGATAAAGCATGTGGCAGTTTCTTAAAATTATAAGAATAAGTATCAAGTTAGCATATGACCCAGCAACTTGACATCTACCTATATGCCCAGGAGAAATAAAAGCATAGGTCTGGAGCCTGGGGAGCTATCTCAGTGACCTAGAGAACATGCTTTGCATGTAAGAGCCCCAGATGTGGCCCCAAAACTAATGAAAAATGTCTACCATTATTTATAATAGTCAAAAAGGGAAGCAATCCAAATGTTTATCAGCTGATGAGAGGGTTAACAAAACACAGTATATCCATAAACTATTAAGGAATGAAATACTGATAATTTCTACAAGATAGATCAGCACTAAAAACATGAGATAATGGGCTGGAGCAATAGTACAGTGGGCATTTGCCTTGCATGCAGCCAACCTGGGTTCAATCCCTGGCATCCCATATTGTCCCCTGAACATTGCCATGAGTAATTCTGAGTGCAGAACCAAGAGTAACTGAGCATCACTGGCTGTGACCTAAAAATTAAAAAATAAATAAGAATAAAAACATAAGATGATGCAAGCTCCAGGAAAAATGAAGTCATGAAATTTGCTTATAAATAGATAGATGTGGAGAGTATCTTACTAAGTGTAATGAGTCAAAAGAAGAGGGACAGATAATGGTTGCACTTATTTGTGGGATATTATTTTCCCATTTGATGGCTACATTTTCTCCTACTGATAGATTTTAGTAGCTCTGCTTGTGGGATAGAGTGAAACTGCTGGGATCTGAAGGGGGAGGATTTCTCTGTGTCCTCCTCCTATATGAAATGGCTGGACAGAAAAAAAAGAGAGAGGGAGAGGGAGGGAGGGAGGGAGGGAGGGAGGGAGGGAGGAGAGAGAGAGGGAGGGAGGGAGGGAGGAGAGAGAGAGGGAGGGAGGGAGGGAGAGGGGGGAGAGAGAGAGAGAGAGAGAGAGAGAGAGAGAACCTAGTATGAGACTAATACCCATTGAGAAAAGAAATGGGCCAGAGGACTGATCCACCGTTGGAAGCTTGCAACAAGTGGTTGGGGTGGGGGAGAGCAGTTACAGAATAGAGAATGGACCAGTCTGACAAAGATAGTTGGAAATCAGCATTCAAGAACTGAATGCTGGAAGTAAGTAAAGGAACAAACATGATAAGCTTTCAGTACCTGTATCACAAGCTGTAATGCCCAAAAGGAGAGAGAGAAAGGAGAAAAGTACCGGCCATAGAGGCAGGCTGGGGTGTAGGGGGTGGCAGGAGGGAAACTTCAGGACATTGGTGGTAGAAAATGTACACTGGTGAAGGGACAGGTTTTGGAACATTGTATGACTGAAACCCAATCATGAACAACTTTGTAACTGTCAGGGTCGTTCAGTTAAAAAAAAATGAATGGACATGGGAAAAAAATAAGATGAAAGAAATGATGAAAGACAATGTTATGTGATCCCATTTTTTATGAACTGTATAGTGTTGACAATCCATAGAGAAAATAACAGTATCAAGGGAATTAGAAGAGTAGTTGGTTATGATATGGGATTTCTTTTTGGACTGAAGAAAATTGTAAAATTGGATAGTAATGATGGTTGTATAGCCTTGTCAATATATAAGAACTATTAAATTACATCCTTCTGAAGGAATTTTTTGACCCCATACATGTAATACCTGACCTGAGTCCCTTTCCGTACCATAAGATACATTTTATAGGATGAAAGTTGTACCTCAATAAAACTATTTTAAGAGGCCAGGGAAGAGTTTACAGATAAGAGTGCCATACATGTCATTTGAGAGGCTCTGGGTTATATCTCCAACACTACAAAAATTAAAAATCAGTGAGAAGTATCTTATTAGACCATTTCAGTCTCTTTCAGAGCTTTCCAAGTTAGTCTCCTTTGAAAGGTCTGGGTGACTGGGGGTAGAGGAGGTATAATGGGTTCTTCCATCTAGCATACAATATATAGTAGCTGTTGGAGCAGCAATGAGTTTATGAACCAGAGAGAGTTTGCCTTCAGCATGACTGGCTCAGTTTCGATCCTCAGCACTCCATATCTCCCCCAAGCCCACCAGAAATTATCTCTGAGCCTGGAGTAAACCTTGAGCACAACCAGATGTGACCCAAAAACCGAGGAAAAGGAAATGTGTTTAGTAAGTACCTTAAAGCTTCAGGTAGGGGATAAAGATTGATGAAATATAAGACCTACCTCAGATTTTATCAAAGAACATCTTTGCAGTTACTTAAATTCTTAAATTACTATGCAAAAAGGCAGTGAATTCCAAGGATCAAAGGTAACAGAATTGTCTGTTTTTCCTCCTTAGGATACACACCTACTAAAACTGCTTAAGACATTAGAAGGACATGCTTACGGCGTTTCATACATTGCTTGGAGTCCAGATGACAACTATCTTGTTGCTTGTGGCCCAGATGACTGCTCTGAGCTTTGGCTTTGGAATGTACAAGTGAGCAAGTTTCATCTTTGATTTATAAAGCTCTTAAGTACTACATGCATAATCATAAAAATGTGTGGGCCATAGAACAGCACACACCTGCATAAGTTACCATAATCTGTCTTAAAAAAGATGATTTTTTTTAAAAGATCCCAGCTATGTATACCAATATGTTTAATGTTAGGTTTAAACTTGAGTTTTTAAAAGAAAGATACAAAAGTATTTTCAGGAATATTGCGCTTGTGTAAAATTCATATTATTTGCTGTTGTACTTTATACCAAAGAATAGATTTCATAGTTTTAGAGTTATAAAATTGTTTTCTGGGGCCGGATCGATAGTACAGCGGGAGGGCGTTTGCCTTGCACTCAGCTGACCCAACTTCTATCCCTGGCATCCCATATGGTCGCCCAAGCACTGACAGGTGTGATTCCTAGTGCAGAGCCAGGAGTAACCCCCTGAGTATTGCCAGGTGTGACCCAAAAAGCAAAAAGGAAAAAAAAATTGTACTGAAATGAAATGTTCTGAGAGAAAACATGGGTATTAATCCAATTTTCTGTCCTAAGGACAATCTCACAATCTCCTTAGCTATATTTAATAGTCTTACCTAGCTTAGTTTTAGTAAATGGTGTTTCTAGTTATTAAGAGCTTAATTGTTATTTCTAAGTTCACACTTAATATTTATCCAGGGCTGCATTTTAGAAAAGACTTAGCATTGTGTTTATTCCATTATACACATAATGGATACTAGATACCATTTTTGAAGTGATAAAGTTATCACGGTCACGGTCCTCCCGTTGTTCATCGATTTGCTCAAGCAGGCCCAGTAACGTCTCCATCATGAGACTTGTTGTTACTGTGTTTGGCATATCGAATACGTCACGGGTAGCTTGCCAGGCTGTGCCGTGTGGGCAAGATACTCTCGGTAGCTTGCCGGGCTCTCCAAGAGGGGTGGAGGAATCGAACTCGGGTCGGCCATGTTGGCCGCTTGTAAGGCAAACGCCCTACTGCTGTGCTATCGCTCCAGCCCGATAAAGTTATAATTCAAAAAATTTAAATTCTTTAAATTGATTGCATTTCTTATATTTCAGTCCCCTTAGAAAAAGAATTGTTCAGGTTATACTTTAAGATAAGTGTGCATTTAATGGAGATCAGGTTTAAGTCTGGGGACATACATGTAAGTTGGTTTTTACCAAGTGCAGGTAATAATCCATAGACATAAATACTAAAGATAGCATAGAGAACATAACGACTAATATATGCCTGAAGAATTACGCACTATAGCTCTGATTCTGCTGTCTATAAGAGTAAGCTTTTCTGCTGCTAAGTCATTTGTTTAGGTTTCAACCGAGTTTCATTAGAATTTTGAGTTGAAAGAAAGATAAAATGATGACCTTTATACTTATAACCCTAAATTGTACAGATCGCATTTTGTTATATTTTGTGTGTACATATTTGCCTACAAATATTCATATGTACTTAACATTTATCTATATCCAAAACATTTCATAGAAAATTAAATAACACTTTCTTTTTAAAAGTTTAGCTATATTGATGTTCTTCCAATATAGCCAAATACAGTTAAGTAATCTGAGTAATATACATTCCATGATTTAAATTTTTTTAAATACTGTTTTAATATGTGATTTATGCCATTTTTCTCAGATCAAGGTTTAATTAGTATAACCAATGTTAATATTTGGGATTGAGTGAGTTCAAAGGGGCAGCAAAGCATGCAATAGGATATGATAGCTCTTTCTCTAGAGAGAAATACTAAAGATAGCATACAGAACACCCTGCCTCAGGTGAGTCTGACCTAAAAAATAAAATTCCTTTATTCCATAAAAGCTTTTTCCCCTTAGTGGGCAACAGTCTGTGATCATAATTGCTTAATAGAAATCCTTGTAATGTTTGTGGGGCTGGAGTAATAGCACAGCGGGTAGGGCGTTTGCCTTCCACACGGCCGACCCGGGTTCAATTCCCAGCATCCCATATGATCCCCTGAGCTACCTCCAAGAGTAATTCCTGAGTGCAGATCCAGGAGTTAATCCCTGTGCATTGCCAGGTGTGACCCAAAAAGCCAAAAAACAAAAAAGAAATCCTTGTAGTGTTTGTGTAGTCCTCCTTTTGAATCAGTTTTGAATCTCTGAAGTTAAGCTGTGTTCCAGTTTAAATATTTTATTTATTGCTTTCTAGACTGGTTCTAAAAGAGCTCTTAATTTTCAAATTGTCCCTTTATATTTTTAGGTAGGAAGGTTATCAGTTACTAGCTTCATATAGTCAAGTATCCTAGCATGACAAAACGAAGGATATATCTGTCTTCAGAAATTATTGTTTAACGAAGTTATGAATGGAATATATCAGGGACTTACTGGTACATGTGTGTTTATATTTCTACACTTTAACTGTTACCATCAAGTAACCATAAAAGAAAGCAACTATGGGAAGATTAAAATTGCTGTTTTTTCCCCCCAGTGTTAAAGACATCTGATTTTCTATTTTTTATGCCCTCTCTGCTTTTATTATTTGGCCCCATTTCCTGACCATGCACTTTGTTTTTCACTCTTTTTTTTTTTAACTTTTGATTACCCATTTCTCACAGGAAAATTATGCCCATGTACTTTTTATTATATCAAGGGCAACTATTATCTCTCAGATCCAGTTTCTAATACATGAACAAAGTGGAATCAAGACTAGATTAAATGGTAGGTGTCTACATTCTAAGTTGAATAACTTAGGGAAAAAAATCACAGGCATCTCTATGAGGGTTATAGCACTGAATAGTCGTAGTTGCAAATGCTTTTTAGAATGACTGCTAAACAGGACAAAAGTTCCTCTTCCTACATTTCATACTTTTTCATTGACAAAGATATATATAAGAAAAATTATTTTCATTTTTCTTCCCTACTCTATTTGAGCATCTTGAATATGAAATTTAACCTATTTAGATTGTCTACATCCTTGACTTAATTTAAGGGCATGGCACCTCAGAAGGAATAGCTATGTAGTGTGGGACTTTTATGTAGATTGTACATGTTAGTTTTTGTGAATTTGATTTGAATTTATTTATATCTGTTCATCAGGTTATGTATGCCAAGCATTGCTCAAGTACTTAATATTTCTTCTGAATTTTATAATTCTTTATTGCTGGATCTATTAAAACAAGTCATCCTTTCTGTAGAAATACCAGACTAACCAGATAGACCAATTACTCTGTTTTGTTTTGTTTTGTTTTCTTTACATATTCCCTCTAGAGAGATATCTTTAAAGTCTTATCTGCTATTGTATTTTTTTGTAGACGGGAGAGCTCAGGACAAAAATGAGCCAGTCTCATGAAGATAGTTTAACAAGTGTGGCTTGGAACCCAGACGGGAAACGCTTTG